GCTGCGAGCGCGCAATTTCGCCGATGGTTCGGCCTGATCCCGTTTGGGGCAGACTGTACAGACCGCAATAGTCCGGAATAATCCCATATCCCAAATAGGGATATATCATTAGATAGAGCAAACCTATCCATTGATCCAAGCGAAGATTGAAGCCAAAAACGAAAAAGATCCTCGCCCCAAAAAACTAAGAAAAGATTGGAAGTCCATTCAGAAAATTCCTTCAAAATTCCTAACCTGCTCATGCATTGTCATTTTGTATAAGACATTTCTCTATGCAGTTGCTGTAATTTTCTCTCAGTTATAAATTGAGAAAACGTTTAAAAGTTTCATGTTTTTGCCAAATTAGTGCTGAGATGTTTCAGCACTAACAGTTGTAAACTACATGCCTTTAGCAGTAAAGCTTTACATTTTCAGTTTTCCTGAAGAGCTAGTTCACGAGAAATATCGAATCTAGCCTCCTTTATCCAATTTTTCTTGCCCTCAAAAATTCGATATTTCTGATAAACCGCTGCTGTAAAATGCTAAAAATTCATACTCACGCTTCTAGGGTCCTATAGCATACAAGCATAGCATAGCATGAGAGAAAAATACAGAAAATGCATAGAGAATTGTCTTGGACGAAATGACAATGCATGAGCAAGTTAGAACTTTAGATTTTTCTAAACGGACTTCCAATTTTTTCTTTTTTATAGGGCGCTTGAATCTTCTTCGTTTTTGGCTTCAATCTTCGCTCGGATCAAGGCTGCTGCAAAACTTTAAGCACTGTCTTGTAGAGCTAGGTTGGCTCTATCTAATATGTCGATATTCGATGATATATCGAATCCTATTAGGGATATAGGATTATTCCAGATTGTTGCGGTCTGTACCTAGGTGCAGGAATTATGTATCAACCTAATAATATTCAGGAAGAATCACAACTTGTCAGAACCTCCATGCTGTTTTCTTCGACTGACAAGCTCAAGCAAGTGGATGACTCCCAGCATTGGGTTGCTACAGAAGATCTTCTCACCCTAAGAGGTCTTTTACCCACAAGGTTTACATTTAATAACACAAGCTCTCTATGACTTGTTGTTAGGTCCGGATTATAAGGTAATTTATACATCATAGTTTCGCTCAGGTCGCCCACTCTTGTCCCATCCGAAATACTTCGATCGAGCTGTTCCAAGATACATGAAACAGGAGTGCTGCACTCTGGTCATTCGCAATCAACGGAAGTAACCGCCCGCTCGTTTCGTTCGGAGATAGAAGACGAAATCAAACGTAGCGGGGGCATCTTTCATTTCGCTGTACGCTCTTCGGAAGAGCTAACAACTGATGTTGTTTCTTTCTCAAAATAAAGAAAGCGAAGCAGGAGGTACTCGCTCTTTTGCAACGTTACCCGTTCATCGTTTTCAATCCGGAAGATTCCAAAAATAATGTAGAAGTTGCTTTGAAAGTTGGTGAAAAGGTGAGCTATATAACACGTCATTTTACGTACATAATAAATAATGACAACAACTCGCAGTCCACACTCCTAATAAGATGATGATTAGGATTGCCTTGAAATTCTGTGGCCGTATTCAGCACGATCCATTTTAGGGCATAATCTTGCTTACAATGTCGAAAATGATTTCCTGTACTCGCAAACATGGAAGCCAGAGATTTTCTGCATCCCACCTCCTAATGTAATAACCTTAAGATTGTCAACGCCATGGAGACTAATTCAAAATAAAATAATGATATTCTCTCTGCTAGAAGCTTTTGACAATTTTACTTCGCAGTCAAATTAGAAGCAGCTTGGATTTAAAGATGACAGCGAATTTCTAACATGGAGGTCTCAAATCCACGAAGTTAGTGAGAAATGGTTTAGAAGCGGCTCAACCTTCGGCAAATTCAGTATACTTCATGCCACTTCAAGCAACATAAGCACAAACTGCTCTTTCAACACGTAGACAATTTGATAAGTATGAATTAATTTAACAGGGCCGTCATGATGGTGTACATCTATAAAAACCCATTCGCTTGTTTGTTAACCTTTTGATTTTCAGGGTCGAGTCTTTCTCGTAGAAATCTTGAAAGTAGAAGGAGATGGAATAATATAGCGACTGCTCGGAACCACCTTCAGTCTTGGGTGGGATATTTATATATTCTTACGCGATTTCCCTGCCATTTGCAGTACTTTTTATTTCAACAGCCGTTTCATGTAACCGAACAACTTTTTGAACTTGCGTTCGCATGCAGGACTGTACATCGCCTTTACATATAGAGCATACAAAATGGCGACAACTTATTTACTGCGATCTTTGCATCCACGTGGCATAAAACACTCAAATCAGAGGCATTAGTGGTGCTCAGCTTAGGGTTGTTTCATACTGCTGCACTGACTGCAGCAGACTGCAGCAGATTGCAGCAGTCTGCAGCTGGCCGCAATGACCGCAACGGCCGCATAGATCGCTGCATCGTATCGTAAAAGAGAAAACAATTGCGATTAAGTCAAAACACCGTGATTAACGCCTAGGAAGTTCGTAGGTTTCAACTTACTCTCCTGAATCAAATTTTGACGATTGTTTTTTTTTGGTATGCTCATATTTGTTCTGATTCTTCCTGTTAATGCATATCCTGTTTCACTCTCGCTCGTGTTGTTTTTTGGGTGGCATATATTGTTGTTGATTGTTTGGGCTGCAAGTATTTATCCTCTCCACCTTTACGAAAAAACGCAGCGATCTGTGTGGCCCTTGCGGTCAGTGCGGTCATGCAGTCTGCTGCAGTCTGCTGCGGTCAGCTGCGGTCTGCTGCAGTCTGCTGCAGTCAGTGCGGCAGTATGAAAAACCCTTTAGTCGCTTTGTATTTAAATGCTATCATATGTGTGCAAAAAAACACTATTAAAGTAGAAATAGAAGCCAAGAAAATGCGGTTGTCAGAGATGCATATGCTATCCTGCATAGTTTACCATATTCTCAATCCTGATAGAGGTCTACGACCGTTAATTTGCTCTGCTGCAAATTGCATAAATAGTACAGTTACGCCAAGCGACGTTGGATTGATGATGAATTGATGACTGTAGGTATTCTAATGTGGCTTAGGGAGGAGCGCAGCTGTGTCGTGCCCTTTCCATCTTCTAAAATTTCTATATTCCAGATTCAGATCTTTGGAAGATATGGCGCTTTTCTATCGACGTTTTCCTGCAGCAGTAGCGTAGCTTTTTGAATGTATGAATCACTGTTCAATTTAACACTAAGAAAATACTGAATCATTCTAAATAAATGCGTATTAAAGTGCTTCAAAATGTAATGTTGGTTAGAATGTTTATTCGGATTCTGCGAGTAAATCTGGTTGTCATATAGCGTTATACACATCTCACAAAAAAATTGAACATTTGCTCGGGAACAACGATGGAGGAGGAGGCTGAGACTCACTTCATTGTAAAGGAAAACAAGAATAACCATCATTGAGCACATCACAAGCCTCAATAAGCGTGCGCAGAAAGCTACAAATATCAGCGGATTTACAAAAGATGATGGAAGGTATTGGTGGTAGAGATAACAATACAGGCCGGGCATATATCACACGTTTCAACGCCCAAAGCGACTGTCACAAGTCCATTACATGCCGATCATCTTGCTACTCCTTATAGTTTCTCGACCGACTCGCTATCGCAACTGATGAAAAGATGGTCAGCATGCAATGGACTCTTAACACTTTGTCGGGAGAATGGGGAGATGACGCGTGATGCATTGCCGGCACTCATTGCATGTGATCAGAAAATATGTTAGTTTCGTTTGATGCTTATTCTTTGTCTAATAATGCCAGATTTTATGATATATCTACTTTGTAAGCACAAACTGTTCTCCCAATATTTGTATTGTTCCAACTACAGAATTTTAATCGAGTACTACGATTAGTAAAATTGTAGCAAATCAGATTTCCATTGTCTTCATTCTATTGTTTGTTAGGCTCACAAAGATTTCGTTAGACTCTTAGGATACCTCGCGCAATCACTGTCGTCAAACAATTTGGCGATTTGCAAGATGTCTTTACCCGAACACTCGCGCACTACCGTTTAGAGAAAAAGCAGTGCGTCTTATAGTTGTGAAATTAGGGAAAAAATACACAGTATGTAACGTCTACTGCCAGACGAAAACGCCGAAGCGATGCATTACCATCATCGTGACCCATCGCATGCGCTTTATGGGTGATGGAATGTTTGAGCCCCCAGAGGTCCTGCGCACCTCTTTTTCTGCAGAAGACCTCGTAGCTTTCAAAACAAAAAATGCCCCATTTCTTGCGTAGGTACGCCTCGCAAGTTATGACTATTGACCAATGAGTCACTTATGCTTCACAGAGGTTAGCAAGAACTGTTTAGGAAACTTATAAGCGACTCATCACACGAAGAGAGAGGTTGCCACTGCTGATCTTGTCGGCGCCTCCCAAATCGATCGCAGTTTCGTTCCTCTGACCATCTACTGTCTCCCTCCCCCACCAGGTACTGTCCTAGTTCGACGCAGCGACGTGTATCTGTATGCGATGCGTCACCTATACTTACTTTCAGCATGACCATTTGACTGAAAAAAGCGAAAACCTTGAAGGAGAATGAACCACACACACACATACATACACACATACATACACACATACACACATACACACACACACACACACACACACACACACACACACACACACACACACACACACACACACACACACACACGTACAAATCTTCTGCTTCACAGCTTGTCTTCTTTAGTTGCTCTCGCAAATTGTCGTATGGAGCAGAAAAGCTAGGCTAGGATTAGGCTTTAAACCCCGCCTTGCAGCCGCCAACCCCGTTGAATGAGAAGGTATATGCGCAATCGTAATGCCTGTGATGACCTTTCTTAACCCCTTCCTAATGCTGAATTATTGTGTTTGTCCAAATTCGACTGACTAGCGATTTTTGCATGGTGCATGTGATGTGTATTTTCTCAAGCGACAACCAATATGTTATCAACTTTTATCCAGTGTATCAACTTTGCCACTATATGGCCGTTGTCATAACCTGGTTAATTGATTGTACTAGTGAAGTTCTCTCAGACCCCAACATCAATGCCAAAGGTATCTATTTTGTGATTAGAGAAAGGCAAAGTAGAAGTGAGGCATGTAGTTGCTCACCGAACGACATACCTAATCCTTTGACGTTGTTCGGTTGTCGTGAACCCTAAGACCCGAAAATGAACCAGAAGGAAATGTGCTCCGCTGTGAACAATGAATTCGCGCCATAATCTTAGATCTCTGTGAATATTTGGGGTCAGGACACCGACTGTATAAAAAGAGCTCGAGATGCATATCCTACATTTGGTGGTGCAGTAGCGTCATTGAAGGTAAATTCAATTCTTTGCTGTTCGTGACTCTACTTTGACTTTTGTAATAATTGAGGATTAAATGTTCTCTGAGCATTGATGTGAACGTCTATAAGAATTTTCCACTTAAAGCCGAAACGCCTCGTTGAATAAAAGCTGAGAAGTGTTGATTGCTGCTCGGGCACAAGAGACACATTGTTCACTCACAAACATTGCAGCCCGTATAATTCGATACGATAGTGTAGAATGTACAAAACCAGTCAAGATCCTCATCCCGCCCGGGTTGTATGTCACGAATGGTCTGGGAGGAGGGGCATGGATGAATATTGATCCTGCAAGGAAGAACATTGTGCCCTCCGACTCCTGCGCCTTCTTGTTCCCTCCCCCTTCGGCAGCCTTAACTCAAGCAAGAGACACCGCACAGCAAATACTTACTTTGCGCAGCCTCACTTGAATAACAACATACTGCTCCCTTCTGCAAAAGAAACGAGTACTAAAGCTACTTTTTGTAAGGGATTGTATGAGCGGCTTCATAGCTTTGGGAAATGCAGAAAAATCAATGAATCAATGTGATTGTCCAGAAAATGCAGCAAAAGTTAAGGTAACTGCATGACAAGGGCGGAGAAGCCATTAGTTGAGCGGACACAAACTCGGCGCGCGCCTGTCTTCACCGTTGTAAACTCTGCGCTTCATGCGCTCTACGGCTAACAAAACCGCTTTCGCGCCCGAAGATATTGCGCCTTCGTCATGCGACAGCCTTTAGCCTGAAAGACGCGCTGGATCGATGTAAATGTATGCTTGTATGCTGAGAACAAAGAACGCTATGCGGAACACACATCTGAGCAAGCATGCTTGCGCACAAATAGATTTATGAATTGACGTGGAGCAGATTCAATAACCTCTTTCTGATTTTTTACTGCATTTGTTTATCACTGTGTCACCCCTGCTTTGCAGAGGCTTGGACTGGTTGGACTAACTATATGCCGTCCTCTTGGCATAATGATGGTCTTGAAACTCACCGCCCAATGCCGACATCACGACTGAATTGTAAGCAACTACCCACTCCAAAAGCTTTTTATGAATGATCCGTAACTTTGGGTAAATGAAACCATTTTACAGAAAATTAATTGCGATTTGGATAGTTACAGAACTTGCTAAACTTGATAGGGGCCTTAAAAGACGACGACCACCATCCATATGTGAGCTACAATCTTCTCATTTTCTCAAATAGAAGCTTAAGAAAGCGAAGAATTTCCACTAACCTTTTCTTACTTTCGTAAAAAAATTCTTGAATATTTTTTGGGCTGAAGGACATGGTTTGCAGTATATACGTTAAACAAACCCATTCTGCGAAAAATTTTGACATGGACAGTTTTGCGAGCTTAGAGAAGTGTGAATCCGTTTGACGCGAAATTGCGGGACCATGTATCAATTCCCTTGTCCTTGTGCACAGTGATTGACATGCTGGGAGCATGCGTTGTGCAAAAATCGGCTTCAGCCATGGTAGTAGTCAGAGACACACACACGTATATACAGTGACCGCCAAAAAGTTCCGGACAAGCCCCCTTCCTTTTCTCATCGCTCAATTTCAGATGGACAACAATGAAAAAATGATAGGATTGCAGAAAATGATAGAGCTCTTCAACAGCTACAATATAGACATTGCGCTTCCTGGAAAACATGTATTCTAGAAATTTCAAAAAAAATTTTCTGAAAAAGTTTGAAAATGGCCGCGTCACAATGTCGAGGACAATAATTCTTCAAACGCGAGAATTTTCTTTTAGCTCTTTTTTTTTGAGGGAAAAACAGAAGTTTTCCGGGAGTTAAGCATAGTATATATTACAGAGCTTATTGAGGACAATAACCTGATAGTGGCTACTTCCAAAAAACCCAAGCCTGAACTTTATTTTGATCTTTTCAAAAAATAACCTCTAATTTCCTTTTTCAATCCAAATTTCCTCGCATGGAAACCTATTCAAGACATGCACACAAAGCCGTTCTGATGAATTGGATGCTCTTTGCCATCCTTTTTGCGTCGGACGTGTGCCGGTGAGTTTCTTTGCTGAAAATGGCTCTTCACAGTGAGTGCACATGACCCCACCTGCACTTCACCATTGACTTGCACCGTTTTGCAGGTTTGTAACTCGGCCACTAGTCATTCTGAGAGGCTGCAGTAGGCTCATTCGAAAGAGCGTGACCTCCTCGACACGATGTGTGCAAAAGAGTTGAGTTTGAGAAATACCGGAAATTTACGGATGGAGCGCAAAAATGCTGCACCCCTTTCCAACATTAGTGGCAGGCTAAGGATTTTTTAGCTAGAGTTGAACAAAGCTCCTTTTGCTGCCAGTTTCATCCTGGAAGTTCAAAACTGTCAATTTTCTTGTAATAGATCCATATCAAAACTCTAAGACTGTTTTGGTATTGATGAGAGCCTTCGCTCCAATTACCTCCAAGGCTGCACGTTTTTACCCCATCCGTAAAATCTCCGGCATTTCTCAAACTCAACCCTTTGCATACCATCGTATCGAGAAGGTCATGCCTTTACCGCGCCGAAAGCCTTTACACTAGGCTAACTAGAGTTGTTGATTCTAAATGTAAAGTTCCCAACTTATTATGATGCTTCATTGAGGAGTTATGCCGGGTAAGAAGTAGCGGCCATTTTTCAATGTTCCTAAAAAGTGCGGTTACACCGTTTAAGAAGCTTAGTAACCTTGTGAATAGTTCAGTATTAAACTCAGCGTCCATAAAAACTCTATTATACAAGTTTTCACATTTTATGAAAAAATTTTGAAACGGCAGCTTTTTTCACCTTGACACCATATATTTCAAGTTTCACCGTAATCCTACAGTAATGAAGAGAGATGGGTGATTCGCTCCACACTGTAAATCTAAGTTAAAGCCAGCTCTACAAAACAGTACTTGAAGCAAGGCAAAAGACTTTTTTAGAAGGGTATCAACGATCAAACATTCGATACATTTTTTTGGGACACCCTGTATTAGGTTGTCCCGAAAGTTTTGTCCGTTTTTTCGAACTACTATAAAACCACGCACAATAAAGATCTGAAGGAGTTCAACATGTTTTCAATGCCTATCCTTCTCTTTCTTTAGATCCATTTTCATACCAAAATCTTGCATGATCTTTCTGATAATTGCCAAAATTCTCCACCCCTCTCTACTATGTATCGAACCAGAAGATTTCATCGCATGGATGAAGTAACAGAATTTTCAAAATTTTGTTGCAAGAATTATCATCAACCCAATACAATGCGCAAAATTCTCCCTTCCAGAAAAATAGTCCCATAATTTTTCTTGGTCCTGTTTGAAAATTTAGAATTTGACTAGTTTTATTTCTTTGCATGCAACTCTCGCATTTAGTCATACTAAGTCGGACTAAGGGCGCTGCTGTAAAAAGCTTGATCTGTGATTTCAAATAAAACTTACAGATTGGTCCATCAGGGCTCAGCAGAGGTGGCGCTTTTACAGGCTGCACATTGTTTTCTGGGAAAGAAGCATAAGGAAAATCGCAAAGTTCTCAGGGGAAACTCCGGATCCGATAGGATAGCAAGCACAATTCCTACAAATAATAAACCCGAATTTGAGGCTCTAACGACATTTAACCACTAACAATCAACATGCTACATACATGATTAGTGCACCAATTTGTGTTCACAGGATTCCCAACTTGTTAAAACATAATCTTTATGCACAGAAAGATGAACAATCAATTTGTTTAAAGGCAGTGTCCAGGCTAAACCTAACTCCCTCCGATTAGTGTCGGTCCTGAGTGTAGGCCCAGAAAAGGGGCATCTGCGTCGGTCCGGTCTTCTAACGTTGTCTCCGAATGGAGATAAGGGGCCCGAAAGTCCCTGGGTGGGCGGGGTCTGATATCAGACTCCGCCCACCAGGGACTGCTCACTACCTTGTCAATACGTGCCTCCCGACACGTATTGACAAGGTAGTGAGCAGAAGCTGCACACTGCAAACTGCGATGCTCCTTCCCGCTGGCTTGCCGACGGGGACGAGCAATTCGAAACTCGTCCGCGCCCTCAAGACTGGGTCCCCAAGAATCGGGTTTTTTGTGAATTTTAGAGAGTTTGAAGTTCGGAACTGTAATCAGGGCCACGGAAAGGCCCCAGAATGACGAAAACATGGGGGGCCAAATTCTGGGTGGACGCTGCCTTTAAGCGATTAAGCAGTATTAAGCCATTAAATTTGGTGTATAGCTTCGCGACGTCGAAAAAGGGCAGGTATGAAAAATTATGAAAGAATTTTGTGAATAATAAGTTGTAAGTGTTTTTCTATTTTAGGTTTTGCTCCCGCGCAACCTGGGAGCACCCTGAGGTTGCGCTAATTTAGCCAATTCCTCACATAATTTTTCGAAAACTTTTACTTGAATTTATTCCTCAGGTTCAAGCTCCATCTATGAGCACTCATTTTAGCCCAAATTTCAACCACTCTGCTTTGCTACGGCACTTGAAGGTATTAGAAACTTCTTCTTTCTCGTCTTCTGTTGTTTTATTCCAAATTTTATGGTTTTTTTTTCACTTTTAGCCATGCATCGTTCACTTATAACCCGTAATTCTAAATCTAATTTCACAAGAGATTATTCGTAAATTTTTGCAGTGTCAATGCCACCTTGTGCTGGGCTCTGGGGTCCATCGAGATATGAAGAAGTTATGGTTTTTGAGAATGATGCACAAGAACTTTCGAGCCAACCTAATATATACATACATACCCTTAGCCCTTAGCCTATTATGATGATCGTTCCCATACATCAGCTGGAACAGTTCTTTCTAATAATTTCGGGTTAGCCAGTAAACGCAGGCCTTTCATTTTTGTGCTAATTACGGATTCCAACGTCATTATGGTAAAACAGCTTCTGTTTTTGAACACGATGAGCTGGCCTAAGTCCTACCATCTTAAAACTTTTCCTGTATAGCACACTTCTTCACAGCGAAAATTACGACAGTGATTGAATGAAGACACTCAAAACAAGAAGTAAGAAGTTTGAAAATTGATTCTTAGTTTTCCCGCTTACCTGAGCTTGTCCGCTACGCTCCAAATGAAAACACCATTTTAGGAAAGCGAAAACGATGAGAACAGACCCCCGTATTTTTTTGGTATTTCAACAAGTGAATTGATTCATAACAAGGTTGAGGCGCAGAGTGTCTGTAGTGTAGAATTCTATGATTTTGACTGTGTGGGAATGCGCACTCCATCACTGAAAAAGAAGTCTCCAAGTAGGCGGAACTATCTCAGGGGTACTCCCTTTCCAAGCAAGTTTTGCTCTTGTTTAACTTTGCATTTGTACGATGGTGCTGCAAGAAGCGTCGTCTGCTTTCACATTGCGCTGCTGTCCATGATGTCATGACACCACTTCAAAGGCAAGCGTCGTCTATGATTTTATTGAAAGATCAATGAACTGCAAGTCCTATGATATTCGCCGCGCATTTATAACGTGGTCTCATGTTGGATGGATGCGGTCATCACATAGAAGGTCGAAAGTTGCATCACCGTAATTTGCAGATTTTGGGGTACACGATGGTAGCTGCGTCAGTTCGCAACCGTTTAAATCACCGTTGGAGGACCCACGTCCTATGGTAAACTTTACGGCAGAATTTGGCATGGATCGATTTGGAATTGAAAGGGATATTATATCAAGTGTAAAAATGAGCGGACGTGGCGTTATATATAGGAGTAATGTGATTGGTGCCCGGCTCCGCCTGTACCCTGCACCCATTATTTTCTCAATCAGCATGCTCACCCACCCCTATCCCAATTTCCAGCTTCCTAGCTCAAAGTCTGCAACAAATCGAGATCGATAAAGATAATAGATAGTTTTGAAATGAAACTGTTTAGAAATAAATAATTCTATTCGGAAATACAGAGAGACGACATACACGCAAACAGACATTCAGCTTTATATATAAGATTCAAAAAATTCTTCCAGCACAAATGGATTATCTTTTTTCCTCTACATTCGTGGTTATTGCGTTCGTTTTTCTATGCAGCACGATCAAATGGTCAAGAACTTTCTCCAGCAGTGAATTTGTAAGCCCGTAATTTTCTTGCCTTGAAATTATCTAAATCGTCATGTTTTCCAATACTCAGTGCTTCGATAATGTTAAACTAGCTCCTTTAGAGAACGAGATATATCGTGAACAGCTATCAGTACGATATTCTTCCCGAAGCTGAAAAGAGTTATGATGATTGGCACAGCTGCATGACTAGTATTCTTCTTCCGGTTTCAAATATCGACAAGGTTTGTTAGAGGAAAGGCATCTACTGTGTTGTGTCCAGTTAGGAGGAGCAATGAGAACGCGGTACCGTCTCAGTAGGCAGCATAACGCACAAGCTTACAACTCAGTAGCTATCAGCTCGCCGCGTTGACTTGTAATGCTTGATTGCAACTAGATTAGAAGAGTTAAAGGCTACGCATTGGCCGTGAAGTAACTTAAGGAGGAATAAACATAAGATGACGTTTCTGGTTGCACATGATTTCGAACAAGCTAACTAAGCGTGAAATTTTTTAGCTTTGGTCTTCTTTCTCCAAAACTGTGGAAACCTGTCGCCAAAGGACTGCTATGAGGAAACTACACTTGACTGAGATCAAAGGCGGACAGGAAAACAAATATCACATCTTCAATGACACCGATGTAAGCTACACATTTACCATATTAATGACATCTAAGCACACGTTATCTGAAAACAGTCGTAGTGTGCATTGGCTGTGGCGAAATTTTGTTCGAAACGGTGCAGTATTGAAATGAAAAGCAGCTCTATTCTAATGACTAATAAAGCGCTAAGCGTCGTCTTTTTGTGCGCGTGTGTATGTCTGTCTGTCACGAAAATCGTAGAGCGAGCTACAGAATACGTCCTGAGCTGAACTTTTGCACAGTGTACGCTGGCAGTGTCCAGGCTCACCCATGGCAAACGCTGATGCAAGGGACCTTCGAAAATGGCGTTTGGAGCGGGTCCACTCCGCATTTGGCGCGCAAAACTGGGTCGACTTTTGCAACGTCATGTATTTGTTTGACAAGTACATTTGCAAGTCATGAATTTTAGTCCAAAAAATGCTCAAAAGGTGTGTTCTGCTAGAGCAGCACCGAAAAAAATGGATGCGTAATTAGATTAGTTAAGGTTTTACCTGATAAATTAGAAGGATTTTTGCACAGAGATATAATCCATGGTTTTATTATTCTTATGGGGAGCAATGTATTGGAATAATTTCAGTAATTAATTCGAATTCGCATTTGTTCTTCAACAAAAAATTTTCCTCTCTTAAAATCACCGATCTTACATGGAAAAGCTTTTGAAAAGCATCATCCGGTAGTCAGAGCTCTTTCACTATCATGAGTTGGGAAAACTGCCCGTAGGGTTTTCTGCACAGATATGCACAATTCGTGACTCTCGAATTTTTATGGACTCCCGTGATTCTTCCGCGATTGAAGTATGATAAGATTTTGAATATATAATGGAGCCGTGAGGGTGAGGCTCAGGTTCCTGCAAAAGCGCCTTGAATCAAAGTGCGACTACAATAGTCTCAAAGGAAAAAGGGAAACACCGAAAAGTGTGCCATTAGTGTGCCATATTATGAATGCGATGCGATGCGCAATTGTCATTATCGTCATGTATTAAATGGAAACTTGAGCTTTTCAAGTTTGAGAATTAATATTTTGGTTGGAAATGAGCAAAAAATCGCGAGTAGAAATTCAATCCATTTCGTTTTCAATTTTTATTCAACACACAACTGTGTGTTGAACAACGAATGATTTCTGTGGCACTTTTGTTTTTTTTTTGGTTTTGAAGAATAATGCTCAATTGTATACGACAAAAGAGCACAAAAGGGACAGAAATAATCAAATGAAAAACGAAGATTCTAGCATCTCTGTAAAATTAAATGCTATGTGTGCATCTGCGTCGTTGGTTATACATTGTTCAATCATTCCATTTTCTATCGTTTGCTCGCTTGCCATAGAGTAGGTGGAGCACTGCCGGCATGCATTGGCGGTTTTTGACAGCGAGAGACTACAAAAACGCTGCTCTGGAGTAGGGGTTTATCGATGGATTTGTCTTTACTGGTTGCCTACTCTAATGCAAGCGAGCACCCTACTCCATCAACCCAGGGATCCACGTGAGGGCGAAGTCGTGCTAGCGTATCGGCGGTGCAGTTTTCCGTGTGCTTAGGCAAGGAGTGATTATTGGTTTAACTATCGCGGCCGCCGTGCACGAATTTGTGGGCGGATCGTTTATGTGACACAAATTTTGGACTCCTCAAAAAGCTTCTGAGATATTTTGAAATGAGAAGGAAGCAAACATGGTGCAGCATTATGATGATGTATTGGTGCAGCTGACTTAGATAAGACCTAGAGAAGCTAATAATCGTTTGCGTGGTCATGTCTCCGCGACATGTCCAAACATGATCGAAGAAATACTCATGAGCAACCATCGCATTGAGATATCTTGAGTTATTACATAAGTTTCGTTACATCTTGATATTTCACCACTTTAAGCTCTACTTTTATCATGTTTCAAGGTAAAACTGGTTGCAAAGTAAGCAATAGTACATCGAGATATTTTATACTACTACATAATTTTATTACACCTTAATATTTCACCGCTTCAAGTTCTACTTATTTTGTCATGTTTTAGGGTACCATTGGCTGCAAAGTAAGCAACTCAGTGATCGCCGGGCAGGCGGCCTGCGAACAAGCGCTTGTCTGCAAGCAGTCAGCAAAATTTTGAGGCGTGGCCAAACCTTCAACAAGCGGCACTTCCTTTACGGTCGCATATTCTGCCAGCGGGCAGCAATACAAAATTTTCTGTAAAAGCTCGTCAAATAATCTCTTCCAGCGAGCGCTGGCTGAACTTTCAGCAAGCGCTCGGACTCTTTTTACGCAGTTTTGGGCGTACGCCGAGCAAAGGTGGGACTCTGCTGCCATGATGGTTCAATTATCCGAGTTTGGGGTACCTTCTTTCAGCGGAAGGTACCCTGGGCAGAGCGGTCCTCCACAAAGGACCGTGCTTCTCCCAATCATTCTGCATATTCCCGCGGAAAGTCCTCGAGAATGCGGCTACTGGGCCGCAACTTATCCATAGAAAGTCTAAAGTTGGCCAACATTGAACCCGAACATCGACAAAAACCGATATTCTGGAGGTTCTCTCTCTTTAGAATGGTTGCTACTGATAAACCTTCTTCTAAACATAGTAGGAATTTCATTCAAAAGGGTTCCTCTTAAAGAAAGATATAGTCGTTTTTCCTTAGCTAAGCAAATGAAGGGTATTTTAGTCCATCGGATGGTACCCATTTACCTACTTCCCCACCCACTCTGCCGCGATATCGCATGATAAAAAACGATGCGACATTTCCGGAGAGCCTCATATAAATTCCCGTTGTACAATGTATATGAGTGAGCAAGTTAGAATTCCATAAGATTTTTTCGATTGAGTTCTGAAACTTATCGATTTTTTGAACCTTTTATCCTTTCAGTTTTTAGCTTCAAATTCCGCGTGCATCAGAATTTATTTAAACTTTCGAACAGCTTTTTGTAGAGCTTGCTTTTATCTTGTGAATGGTGCCCTGGAACCCAAAGTTACTAGAAGTAAAAAGAAAGGCTTACTGAGGTAAAAAGTCAAACTGTGACAAAAAAATTAACAATCAAACAACCTAAAAGAATCAGAAAATTTTGAAAAGAAGAAAACTTTATGCGACAGCTCTACTTTTGACTCTGTTCGTTCGTAATCTTTTATATAGAGTTGAATGTCTGTTTGTATGTGTATTAGGTTGGTGCAAAAGTAATGCGCTTTTCGCGAGTTTTCACTTTGACGTGCTATAACTTTCTAAAAAATTCAAAATCTTCAGTGCGGTAAAGACCATCAGAGGCACCAGATATTTTTCAATACAGCGCACATTCAACTATGCTCATATCCCCAATGGATACAAAAATATGGATTGATAAGCAAAAATGGTTTTTTTTCTAAAACCCCGTTTTTAACTGATCATAGCATTTTTCAAAGTTTGTAAGTGTGAATAATAAGTAGTCTGTCTTGTAGCCAAAAGCCAGTAGTACAAAAAAGTTGAGATGGGTTCAAACAAAGAAGATTTGCAAAAGGGAAAAATAATATCCAAAACTGTCCGCTTTTTTCGACATTTTTTCGTAGGCCTCAAAATCCCAAAATATGAAGATTTTTGATTTTCTGTCCACTGAACAGCTTCCATATTTCTGCAAAAACTTTCGACAGGAGGTCCACCCTTTCACTTACAAAAATGAGCAAAACTATGGCGATTGCCCTCTTCAAAGGAAATCTATGGCCACAGAATGGCCAAAACCATTACTCATATTGAGACCATTACCGAAATCTCAATCCATGTTATTCCTAAGAAAATGGTAAAGTATGCCTAATGTGGACACTTTTTATTACATACAATAACTAAATTCTCAAAAGAATGCCTTTGTTCGCGCTTGGATTCTGGCCAAAAAAGTAGGTGCAATGAAATTCTGGTTTCGAATGTGGTTGTATGAAGCTATATTAACTTCTAACAAATGAGGCTAAAAGCTTCTTTCACCACCATTTGATAGATGAGAGGAGCTTCTTGAAAGTATATAAGTTTTATTCCAAAGAAGAAAGTTTGATGGAGAAACGTTGTCCTAAAATAAGGGCTAGGAAAACGCGCATTACTTTTGCACCAACCTAATATGTCTGTCTGTATGTATGTTCCGAATAGAACATTCCATTTCTGAACCGATCCGGACCAAACTTGTATCACCTTCGGGCCGAGCGAGTGTCATAGGCTCTTCTCGTCATCAGTCGATTTCGATTTCATCGATTTTTATCGAATTATTGTAAAGTTTGACGTGTGGGGCTGGGAGTTGGCACAGGAGAATCGAGCATGCTCATTACGAATACAATTTTAGTTTCAAAGATTACGGATTAATTCGATCGATTTTATCGATATTTGTAAACTTTGACCTGCGGGGCTGGGAGTTGGCACAGAGGGTAAGCGAGTATGCTGATTACTAACACAGCGGTAACAGGGACTTGGTACGTAGAAGTGGGCACACGGAAAGGTTGTACAGGGATAGGGATGGGACCAGGGTCAAGCGTGGGGTGTGGCACGCCACACCAGAGGTCATAGAGAGGTCAGGAAGAAGGGTGGGGTGTCGTTATCGAGGTGATAGTGATCTTAGCGACATTATGTCATTCAACAATGTCTGATAGGCCCAATGTACAAAATACGCACTGATGTTTTGGTCTACCGTCGTCCATGCACAGTAAACATATTAAAAGGATCCTGAAAGCATAAGAGCACCATTTTCGTAATTAGCATGTCAAATAACCCCTGAGGGCCAAGTTTCAGCGAATTTTGAGGTAAATATTGGGACACTCAAGTGAGGTGGTCATTTTCGACATGCTAACTTCGTTTCAAAGGTGAGTAAACTACTTCTTTCTACAATCATTACAAGGTACTACTATTCGTGTTGGAATCCCATTTCATCTGACCCAAGCTCTGGAATTAAGAGCAAGCCAAAACCTTGTTTGTCGCATTTATCGTTCTCAATTTCTCAGAGTAAAGAAGACCGATCAGGCTCAAATCAATTTTGTACAAGTTGGGAGGATCAGGCTATTGAATATTCTGGTTCTTGTCGTTTCCCCTTGCAATTCACGTAGTAGCGCAAACCTAGCACATTATCGTAATCCAATATTTTCGCAGTGTTTTTCATTTCCTTAGCTAAGGAAAAACGATTATATCTTTCTTCAAGAGGAACCATTTTGAATGAAATTCCTACTATGTGTAGAAGAAGGTTTATCAGTAGCAACCTTTTTAAAAAGAAGAGATTCTTTGAAGATAAGTTAATGGGGTGTGGCACAACCCCTAAAAAGCTGAGCACAAAAAGGATTAGCTATCTCACTTTTGAAATATAGTCAATCATGTCAAAATGACCACTTCACTTGGGTGATCCACTATTGGGAACCCTCAGCATTTGCTAAAACTCGGCCAATGGGAGTTTTTTGACATGATCATTACGAATATGTGCCTTAATATGCCTGATAGAGCCTTTATGTCATGCCTAAGGAAGAGAAGATGCGGGGGGGAGGTAGTGAGACAGAAGGTAGGTAGGGAAGGGGGAGTCGTATCTGGCGCGTACCACACCTCTTGCTCGACTCTGGATGGGACCTTTATCGCAGAGTTTTCTGGGTGAGCCGGGTAAGCCAGCTAGTACTGTATAATTTTCAGAACACACCTTCCGTAGTCATCACTCTCGGAGTCGGATGGGATGCACTTGCTGAACAGAAGCTCAGAAAGCGGTTACCAAATGTGAGCTCTTAGTAGATTTTAGATTTCATAAATTAGCGGAGATTCAATGTTTGCACATAGAGGCCTGATAATTAATTCCCACTCATGTAGAAGTTGCGGCAAACCTTCTTCTTTACTTACCAGACTTCGCGCATGATTATCGACCAAACGAATTATTTTATCGAACCGAATATCGCACAATCAACTTTCGAGTAATACTTAAACGACCGGATATCATTCACGGTTTTCAAAAATATTTGAACTTAAATACGAATTTTTAGTATTATTATGTAGCCAACACAAGGTTTGTGTCAGGCTATTCATTACATCAATGGTCTAAGGGGTTTCGGCTACTCGTCGTCTTCAGAGGCCCAGAATGGTGCGGAATTAGTGATCTTGTGTCTGCCCCACCAAGTGCTACATCAACCCTCGGTTAGCTTCTCGATACCCCCTCGTTTACAAGTTTTTTTAAGATGGAAAAAGACAACTCCACCGCTGGTCACTTGATGGTATAGTGCGACCGATTCCTAGCTGACAGCAGTGCCAATAAGCCATTTAAGAAGCTCATTGTAGATGTAATTATCGCACTACTTTATCTTAACTCACACAGTAATAAGAATAGACCGAAGTCATTCGTAACGGCTAAACAATAGTTTCTGTTGTTCATGAGCGGTTTTCTGCATGTGATCCAACACGTGTCGAAAGCTTTCCGCGCAGACGTATCTTTTTCGTAAGCCAATATTGTAGACTTGATTTCGTAGTCCTCATCGCGGTGGTATTCATGTTTGTGTTTCCCGAGCGGCGAAACTAAATTACCTTTTCGCTTATTGACAAGTTTTTTGATTTTTACTCCGAGTGCTCTTCCGGTTTCTCCTTATATAGCCAGCACCAAAACTAAACAGTCTGGGTTCGTCGCCGACATTTCGGGCGGTACGGTCGCCAGCCGGCCGCCAACCGATACCCGTACCTCCGGTCGGTATGCATCAGTGGCGCAACAAAATGGTCCTGGGCCACAGCAGTTTTTTCTCTATTATCGACTCCCTAACTGTGGCGAGAAGGATCCGTGATGATCAACAAAAAACAATAGATCAGGTATAGGCCGTGCACCCTGCGCAAGGAGAGCAACGCTGTTGCGTACATTAAAGGCAATTCACGAAGGAAAGAAGCGCAGAGAAAAGAGGTGGCGAGAAATCACGAGGAAAGAGGAGTGGCGCGCAATACACACCTTTCGCACTCTGCGCGCCCTGCGCGGACGGCCTATAAGGCTTATCAAACGCAGTGTCGCTTGCATCAGCATCTCCACTCTCGTGCTGGACCCTCTCTTTCGCGAGTATGCTCTCTAATCCCTTCCAACCGATTGAGACTCCTCCTTTCTCACGCTTGCCCTTGGAAATTGATCAGAGAGGATGTTTGCAGAAAAGACGCAGAGTCCAGCACGGGATTGGAGATGCTTATGAAGCGACGCTGCGTTTGATAAGCCCCGAATATGCCACAGCACAAGCGACCGCGACGCAACAGTCGCTAGCGCAGGTCCGCCTCGCCAAAGTTGAGGAGCCGCTCATACATTCTGGCTTTCGTTCAGCACTGTAATTTTAATACAGAGTAGTACGAATTTACATCAACATTTATGAAGCTACAATACAATACGAAGAAACATTGACAAGGAATTTTGCATGCAGATTCATGAAAAACAATTTGGCTACAATGCTATAGTAACTTTTTATCAAGAGCATTTGGTGCAGCAAGTTCACATATCGTTGGACAACCATTCCGATTGCTTCGGTAGGTCCAAAGTGTTCTTTACAAACTTTTGAATGCCAATACGCAATAATGCTGTGTTCGATAACCTGTGAATAAAACAAACTGCTGACAATTTTTAACTGACACAGAGCTTACATGCTATGCACAGAGTTACGGTAACGTTTGTTAGTAGAGCAGTACTAAAAACATAAGCATTACAGTAGACATTTAAAAAAGATGATTTTATTAGTCTTTAAAAACACTACAAGGCTAGTTTTGACGATATTCAAGAAAAACTTACATATTTTGGAGTGCGTCCATCCAGCTAGCAGAAATGCGGTAAAATATCGGATAGCTTCTAAGCCCATTATGTTGTCAACAAAGTAGTAGTTGGAAGAACAACGATATCGAGACGTTTCGTTTCTCCACGTTTCGCTCGCTCTCTAAGCTGTCTCTGACCCTGGCAACGCCGACGACCGTTGCCGATAACCTATGGCCCCTAATGGTGGAGTTTGTCTTCACGCGTTACACGTCACACTAACCATCAGCAGCAGAAGCGCTTGCGCAAAAAAATTTCGAGAAAAATGCTGCAACCAAAAGAAGTAGCACTGCTGATTTTTCCTATTGCAATAAGTTCTCGCTTTGTTAGATCCAGAAGTTGTTCTCGTTCTCTTCTTGTTAGCGTTGTAGACCCGGAGACGGGTTTAGGTTGGCTTTGAGCCAAACATGCTTTTACGCAACTACCTGAGTTAATTTCCTTGGCATTGAGTGATTACTTAGGTTATACCTCGAATCCATGAAAACGGACAACATAACAATCACAGGAAGTTCGACATGTTAGAACTTAGGATTCAAACGTGAGTATGAACAGCAAAACAAAAATTGTCGAAATTGAAAAATAGGTGACGATTTCTTTAGTGCAGTTGAGGGGTTTGCCTGTAAGGCTAATATCCTTTCTTGTGCTCAACCTGCAACGGCTGCTGCAGCAAGTGCAGTCAGTGCTGTCGCGGTGCTTACTGCAGCAGCCGTTGCAGCTTGCGGCAGTACACAACCTGCTCCTCTTAATATGGATCCAAAACGTGCAGTTTCTAGCTCAACATTTGAACCTAGTTCTTGACGACCACATATTAGATCGACTTTTGCGAAATCTGACTATAGAACATAAGAGCTTCTAGTCACTTTAAAATGATTTTCATTGCTTTAGGATTCGATATTCTTTGGTGCTGATCCTATATACGAAATCAACGATCAGCTTTATTCGACTGTAGGGACATTCTTCCCAATTGCTGTAGGCAACGAAACAAAAGTAACCAAAGCATACGTGATGCCTAAAGAGTTAGGAGGTAATTTTGGTATTGGAGTGTAGTTTTGCGAATTCTCTGAAAGTAGGAATTAATAAATGCGCAGTTGCAATTCTGCAGTGCTATTTACCATTGCTGGTTGAAAACTCAACATAACGAGTAAAGAGCAAGTCAGCGGAAACTAATAAAACTACTCTAATTTGCAGTTTCTGTCGCGTGAACGACCCAATGGCTTGAAATCGCAGTTACCGCGATATCATAAAGATGGGGAAGATTGCAGCGGATTGCAGGGGGAGAGTGCAATGTTGAAAAACCAAAAAGTGACGAGTTCACTCTAGCTGTTTATTTTGTGAAGTAAAAGTAAAGTCCTGCACAAAAAACTGCTTTTTTGCAAGATCTGACTAACGAGTGGGAGTACTTCTTTTAACATAAGATGAATACGAAAATGCTTGTTTCGAAAGGCTGTCACAAATTCATTCGAACCCTGGAACGATTTATTCAACTGAGTCTAAAAGATTATTGCTAGCGAAAATAACGAGAAGTGCCTTCAAGTATCTTTCTCGATTTCGGACCAGTGTGCATTTTGCAATGTTAATGTTACAACCCATCAATGGATGCATTGTCGTGAATGTGTTGACAACAGAAATAACTTGTACATGTACAAAAAGCACAATGCTGCTCTATCGGAAATCGAACCGAAATAGCTCGCGTGGCAGACCAACTCACTCACTTATACTATAAGCTCCTGCAAGACGAAGGCGGTTGGTTCGAGGCGCGACGTGGCTGTGACGCGGCTGTGACGCTGCTGTGACGCAGCCATGTCGCAGCCGCGTTGCACATCGAACCGACCGCCTTCGTCTTGCAGGAGCTTATACAATAGACATCATTCATTGCGAACTCAATGGCTCCCATACTCAAGGCAATCTCCTCCCCTTTCTAAGGCATTTGTGACCTTTTAGGAGCCCGTATGCACACATTCCCTGTGGGAAGGGAAGGAGACCTGAGTGGGGCGCCTCGCATCTTGTTGCCTCTAGATATCAGTATTCCTCTTTGTCTGTGTGTGTTATGAATGTCCTCATATCCTGCTACCTGAGCATAATCAAAAACAAGACAACGCTATATAAGCTCAGATCTTCAATATTTTATGCAATCTCTTGGGATGCGATACCCAGGGGTAACTTTTACTTCCAAAATCATTTACCTTCCCATAAACTCGACGAAAACCTTGTAAAGTTAGGATACTGTGGCACTTCTAGACATGTGATAGGACAATTGGAAATTAAAAGTTGTGAGTATTTGGCAGAACCCCAGTTTGCAAACAGTGGTTTATCTAAATAATTCGATATCATACAATTTCACTCAGATCTAGTATTATATAAACATGCTTGGCAGTGTCATAATAGATACCCAATACAAATTTACAAAGTTTTCAAGGAGTTTTTATGCAGAAAGGCGACTTTGAAAACAAGAGTGACCCTTGTAGACACCCGGCCCCGGTACCGGCTCAAGCTGGATGTCGTTCCAGGAGGAAAAAGCAGAGGGTATACCTAAGATCTCCGCAGCAGAGGAGCCGCAAGCATGTGCCGCCAGCATGCCGTCAGCACGCAGGCTGCTCTACACCAAACAAAGAAAAACGTTGCTTATAACCAGAAAGTGGCAAGACACCAGACTTGGTGTGCGCACGCAGTTCGAGAGGGAACTCGAATTATGGCTGAGTAATTCATGAAAACTTATGTGAAAACTTGTGCTTAACTTTTCGAATTAACTGGAAATGTCAGGTCGGTTCGAACTGAGCTGATAGCTGCCTTTGCTTACATAATTTTCCCACTTCCCTACCTATGATGTGTCACCTTAAAAGTTTTCATATGAGCATAAAACGGTTTCATAATCTTTTCCCTAGGCCTTTTCATATCCCTCAGAAATGGGGGGGGGGGGGGGAGAATGAAGGTGTATGGGAGGTGGAGGAGAGAAGAAAAAGTGGAAAGGAGTTAGGGAGATGTGGAGGGGAAGAGGCAAGCGCTAGATTTGTGGGTTTCAGGCTCCGACCATGAAGTAGGCGGTTTGTGGCATGAGATTTAATAAAAGTTTTTTGATTTTCTATTCTATAAATTATAGAGGAGGGGGTCACCCTTGTACCATCTATTCGTTCTAGAATGAGTGACAGCACAATTAAAAAAAGAAACTGACAAAGAAAGATACCAACTTAGATTCTCCTTTTGAGATGAGACACATATATTTGGAATCAACTTTGAACGCTAATTTCAAATATGCTATTTCAAGGTGCTTAGCTTGAATCCGAATCGAGTTATGGGCTTGCAGTTTTTAGTAATTAACAAATTTCTGGATGTCGTGCGGAGTATAGATTAGAATCTGCTCGAAAGAAATGCTAGGATGGTAAACTAGCATCGCATTAATTCCTTCGATCTTAAAAGGGAGTATTATACAATTGCAAAACCACCTAGACGTCGTCACCGTAGCATCAGTAGGTCGAGGAGCACGCAAACTTTGCATAGAGAAGAGATCATAAATCGCTTCAGAATAACGCTAAGCAGCTAGGAACAGCATATTTGGGATTAGCATTCCAAGCTGATTCCAAATATAAGTGTCTCATCTCAAAAGGCGTATCTAAGTTAGTATCCTTCCCTTGTGAGAAGAAGTGCGGGGGGGGGGGAAGCTCAAAAGAAGTCAAAGAAGGCTTTGTTCTGAAAACCCTCGGGTTCTAGCTGGTGTCGGGGTCTGCCTGGAGATGCTCTCGGGGCATCACAAGAACTGCAAAATCTTAATCTTATAGGACAACTTTTGGTAACCATGTTTGTGTGGGAGAACCTTTATAAGATGGACAAAGGAGAATACAGATATCTAAAGCAAAATATAAGTCTCTTTCACTTCCCTCACCTTCCCCCTTCCCTCCTCCCCCCCCCCCCTCCCAGCTACGCGCATACGGGCTTCTGCTGCGAGCGAAGCGGCGTCTCTCATTATGGAGTTACGGCTTTTTTTGTCACGCTGGAGATCAAGTCTCTGTTGCAAAGATGTTATGCATTCAAACACAAGAGAACCGTTTCGTAGATTTCAGATTTGGACTTGAAAATCGTCTGCCAATACAAGTACTCAAGTATTTCCTGACACATCTTATGTATATAGAAAGGCGGGTCCACCAAAAGTATTTTCCTTCTAAGTCATAAAGCAACCCGCCTTGATCTCTTTGGAAAGTAAGCTTATTCGTCCGCAGTAACGTTGTCAAAGCATTACTTAATCGCAGATGGGCGATCCTGTGGCGTCTTTTGTTTGAGCAGTTGGAGGGGAGAGAAAAGTTTTGCCGCATACGTGACGTTAACACAACGTGCAGGTCGGTAGCTGCTGATTACTGCCCTGCAAGACGCCTTCGCCCATTATAGCGAACTGTCAGGACATTAACGAATAGTACTTTTTCCGTTTTTTGAAAGTCACTTTCACTGCCATCTGTGCAGACTTGGATAAAATAATTGTCTCAATCCATTTTTCCAAAAGGGCTTATGTTGGTATGCAAAACAAAGGCGATACATACAAAGTGATTATGAATTGATGATAATACTTAATTATCATTTGGACTATGATTTACCCTCTACTTTGTGGACACATATTGTTCGATGATAATCTAGTAGAAAAGCGATTGACTTAAACTAATCGCAGAAACGCGGAAGGGTATTGCATTATGAAATGATTGCTCTTGCTGGTTATCGCAAGTTCACACAAACTGTAGCAATGAATCTGAAAATCAGCCGTAGTAGGACAAGGTGTAAGCACTGGATCTGAAGAAATAAGTATTAGGTTGGTGCAAAAATAATGAGCGTTTTTATTTGCTTGCTTTAACAAAGCAACCAGACTCAACCCAACAAAGAGTAAGGGGTACTGTTCGATAGAGCAAAGCAAGCTCTACAAGATGGCACTCATGCCTTTGCGCCATGCTCGATCCACGGAGAGTTCGAATTCAAAATCTAAAGATTTCCAAATGCCCAAAAAGTCGAAAAAAATCAGATCTTCGTCCAAATAATTTCTACGGACCTCCCACTCGCCCACATCAATACTGTCGATAACTGATATCCATATGTGCGATTGCCGTATTTTTTCCTTGACTAGAAACTGAGAAAACGAAAATTTCCCTGATTTTCTCAAAGCAATGCTGAGCCGTTTTTGCATATGTAGTTCTGTACTACACGCCTAGGTAAGCATAATTGTAGGTTTTCAGCCTATTTCGAGCGGTTCTTTTCGAGAAATGTCGATTTTAGCACTGAAACTGAAACGAAAAAATCCGAATTTGTTATTTTTCGAAAACTACCGCTTGGAATGGGCTAAAACCTGCAGTTACACTTACCTAGGCTTGTAGTATAAAACTACATATGCAAAAACGGCTCAGCATTGCTTTGAGGAAATCAGGGGAATTTTCGTTTTCTCGTTTTCTAGTCAAGGAAAAAATACGGCAATTGCACATATGGATATCAGATATCGATAGTATTGATATGAGCGAGTGGGAGGTCCGTAGAAATTATTTGGACGAAGATCTGATTTTTTTCGACTTTTTGGGCATTTGGAAATCTTTAGATTTTGAATTCGAACTCTCCGTGGATCGAGCATGGCGCAAAGGCATGAGTGCCATCTTGTAGAGCTTGCTTTGCTCTATCGAACAGTACCCCTTACTCTTTGTTGGGTTGAGTCTGGTTGCTTTGTTAAAGCAAGCAAATAAAAACGCTCATTATTTTTGCACCAACCTAATACAACAGCTTTTCGAAAACAAAGAATTGAGCGGCTGTGCGAATTTATATATATATATATTATATATATATATATGTATATATATATATATATATATATATATACAGGGTGTCCCAAAAAGATGTGCACACTGTTTGATCGTTAATAACTCTCCTTCTTTTATGTTTTTTGCCGAGGTTGAGGTACCATTCTGTAGAGCGAGGTCATACTTAGATTCGCAATGTAGAGAGAACCATCGATCGCTCTTCATTACTATAAAATTACGGTAGGAAATTCGAGGAGGATATCGAGCCATTGAAAGCGGTTTTTTGCCAGTAGTTTGCCCCGAAAAGAAAGCCAAACAAGCCACAAAATCTTGAAGTGGGCTAATCGAAGTCGCTGAATCTAAATATGAAACTTGCACTTCAGTGCATTGCTCCTTTGATAAGTTACTTCAGATTTAGGATAACAACTGCTTTTCCAATGTTCGTCAGAAATGTGAATACGCCATCAAGAAAGCTCGCAAAACGTTGAAAAGTCATGTAGTGAAGTCAGCAGGCCTGAAAACTTTGCTACACAATTTTTCAGATTTTTTTTTGAAATTATTTCTTCAAAGGCCTATTCTCCAGGGACGCTGTATGCCAAAACTTCATACCGTAATCTTACAGTACTGAAGAGCGATCGCTGGATCGCTTTATACTGTAAATCTAAGTTGAACTTCGTTCTACAAAATGGTACCTCAAGCTCGGTAAAAGATATGAATGCAAGAGAGTTATTAACAATCAAACAGTGTGCACATCTTTTTGGGACACTCTGTATATATACACAGGGTGTCCCCAAAAAAATGTGAACACTGTTTAATCGTTAATAACTCCCTTGCTTTTACGTCTTTCGCCGAGCTTGAGGCACCATTCCATAGAGCGAGGTCTAGCTTAGATTTATGGTATAGAGCGAGTCGTATATCTCTCTTCATTACTGTAGGATTACGGTAGGAACTTTGACAAGGATTTTAAGCCATTGAAAGCAATATTTCGCCTCGGAACAAAACCAAACAAGCCAAAAACCTTAATACATGGGAAATGGAAGCCGCTGAGTTCGAACATGAAATTTCCACCTTGCTGTGACGCTTCTTTCCAAGGTTATCCCAGGCAAATCTTAATAACCGAATTTCCAGCATTTGTCAAAAATGCGATTACACCGTCAAAAAAGCTAAAAACACTCGTAAAAAGTTGTGTTATGGAATCAGCGAGCGCGAAAAACTTAGTACACGATTTTTCAGATTTTTTGAAAAGAATTTTTTCAAATGGCATATTTCACAATAGATCCACATGTCAGAAATTCATACCGTAATCCTTCAGAATGAAGAGCGATCGATGAATCGCTCTATACCACAAACCTAAGTTAAACCTCGCTCTACAGAATGGTGCCTCAAGCTCGGCGAAAGACATGAAAGCAACGGAGTTATTAACGATCAAACAGTGTTCACATTTTTTTGGGACACCCTGTATATATATTAGGTCGTTCCGAAAGTAATGTCGCTTTTTTCGAATGAACGCCACTATTCGTGGAATCAACATTTTCAAAAGATCTTGGAAGTGTTCGATGCAGCATTTCATCCTCTTTCTAAAGGTTTTAATTCCAGTGCATAATGTTCAATGAGCTCTCGAAAAATTACCAAAATCTGCAACTCAAGCTTTTTGCCATGGTCAAGTTCGGCAATTTTTCTAAATTTTTGTACCTAGTCTCTGAAAAAGTGCAAGTAGCAGGTAGATAGAGCAAACACTATAGAACACAGAGTAATTTTTTCTTTTTCTTAGCTTGCTACTCAGAGTTTCTACAATAAATTTCTCAATGCCATCAAATTCCATATTCAGTCAAGTCAAACCTCACAGAACAACAACAGACAAGCGACTCGGGTGCCATTCGATGCAGCTTTTTCTCCTCTTTCTAGCGGTCGTTTTTGTTTCCTATTCATCAAGTTTTCCGGGATAAAATCATCATAAATCAACTTTTCTAAGGCACCCCAAGGTGTACCCGAAATTTTCGAAAGTGGCTAAACCGAAGCGGTGAATGCTCGTTTGGTTTGTAAAATTGTTGCCAAACCATAATCCATCTTTGTAAGTTTGAAAATCCGGAGACTTGTTGGCGTTTGATGCACTTGTGTCTGAGACGAGCCTGCTAAAATTCGGTGGTTTCATCAAAAAATCTGTACAAAAATTATGACGAGCTCTGGAAAGTAGAAAATTGTTGTGCTGTTTCCTGTGGGGTTTGCTCCATCCATCCATTATTTGGACTCCTTCTGAGGTTTGTTATAAAATTTTAGAAAAATTGTGAAACTTGGCCATCTTAAAAAGCATAGGTCGCAGATTTTGACTCTTTCCTGGAAGCTCATTGACTGTATGCAACAACTTCATAACCATTAGAAAGAGAATGAAATGATGCATCAAATGCTGTCAGGATCTCTTACATATCTTTGTTCCACGAGATGTGGCATACGTTTGAAAAAAGCGACATTACTTTCGGAACGACCTAATATATATATATATATATATATATATATTAGGTTGGCACGAAAGTTTTTGCGTAATGCAAACAAAATTCAATAACTTTTCAAAGACTCAACCTAAATTCACAATCTTGTATGCTAAAAATACTATGAGTCTTACGCTTCATGATGGATGTTTAAGCATAAGATTCCATGAGCTGGACATCAAGAACGAAGCTCTCGAATATGGGGCTTCAAATTTTGTGATTTTGAGTTTGGTGCCAGAAAATCGCAGAGTGCCGCTAGCTAGCCGAAAAAAATCTGTAGAATTTACTTACACAACAAAAGTCCATATGTTACTTTGGAAGGCTTTGATCTTGCATGGTGAAGCAAAAACAAAAAAAAATGTGAAATAAGTCATTTTGCGGAAAAAATTCCCTCATGTCCGCAGTTTTCCGGCAAAAACACTTTTTTACAACCGAGGAAACGTCGCAAGGCTCTAAATAGGCACCATGTCTGATTTCTGGTTGCAAACTGTGTTTTTGTGGAAAAGTTAGAGCGATAAGGAGATTTGTCCTGTGAAATGAGAATTTTCACAAATTTTTGTTTTCGCGTTTCCATGCAAGATCAAAGCCTTCCAAAGTAACATATGGACTTTTGTTGTGTAAGTAAATTCTACAGATTTTTTTCGGCTAGCTAGCGGCACTCTGCGATTTTCTGGCACCAAACTCAAAATCACAAAATTTGAAGCCCTATATTCGAGAGCTTCGTTCTTGATGTCCAGCTCATGGAATCTTATGCTTAAACATCCATCATGAAGGCGTAAGACTTCTAATATTTTTAGCATACAAGATTGTGAATTTAGGTTCAGTCTTTGAAAAGTTATTGAATTTTGTTTGAATTACGCAAGAACTTTCGTGCCAACCTAATATATATTAGGTTGAACCGAAAGTTCGTTCGCACCATTTTCAAAAAATCATAACTTCTTTCCCTCACAACGATTTTGCGCAGTTTAAGTTTTATTAGAAGGCGTAAATCATGTAGTTTCCAACGGTCCCCTGGCGACTTTCCAGCATGTTCAGATTGCAGAGAGAAAAATGAAAGAACGAAAACATCCGAAATTCGGAATTTTTGAGAAACGATTCTAAAAATCTAGCAACTGCGCGATAAAATTCAGAAAAGCCATTATCCTAATTTCTCTTATATTTGATTACTACTGAGTTAAGTTTGTTCTGATCGAGCTCTTCCTTTCAAAAGTTATGATTTTTTGAAAAAAAATGCCGAAAAATCAATTTCTTAGGAATCTTAGGAAAGTGATCTTTCGGCATTTTTTTTCAAAAAATCATAACTTCTGAAAAAAGAGCTCGATCAGCACAAACTTAACTCAGCTAGTAATCAAATATAAGAAAAATTAGGATAATGGCTTTTCTGGATTTTATGGCGCAGTTTCTAGATTTTTGGAATTGTTTCTCAAAGATTCCGGATTTCGGATGTTTTCGTTCTTTCATTTTTATCTCTGCAATCTGAATATGCTGGAAAGTCGCCAGAAGACTGTTGGAAACTACATGATTTACGCCTTCTAATAAAACTTAAACTGCGCAAATCGTTGTGAGGGAAAGAAGTTATGATTTTTTGAAAATGGTGCGAACGAACTTTCGGTTCAACCTAATATTATTAGGTTGAACCGAAAGTTCTGTCCCTCCATTTTCAAAAATTCGTAACTTCGCCAGATTTCAACGGATTTGCTTGCTCGTAATTTTATTAGAAAGAATAGATCTTCCGCTTTCAAGCCCTGTTTTGAGGAGCTTCTGATTCACACTGAGTGCCGAGATAAAAATGGAAAACTAAGACCATGTAAACTTTGACCATTTTAAGTTAGGTCACCAAAAATCTGGAATGCTGCAGAAAAATCTGAAATCGTCAGTACATATGTTTTTTGGCCTACCCTTTGCATCTGTGAAAAGTTTGTGTTGTTTGGACATCTCTGTGAGAAGTTATGAATATCGAGTTTACTAACTATGGATAACGCCAAAATTAATTAATTTGGCAATTTTCGTGAAAATCATAACTTCTCGCAGAGACGTCCAAACAGCACAAACTTTTCACAATTGCAAAGAGTAGGCCAAAAAACATATGTACTGACGATTTCAGATTTTTCTGCAGCATTCCAGATTTTTGGTGACCTAACTTAAAATGGTCAAACTTTACATGGTCTTAGTTTTCCATTTTTATCTCGGCACTCAGTGTGAATCAGAAGCTCCTCAAAACAGGGCTTGAAAGCGGAAGATCTATTCTTTCTAATAAAATTACGAGCAAGCAAATCCGTTGAAATCTGGCGAAGTTACGAATTTTTGAAAATGGAGGGACAGAACTTTCGGTTCAACCTAATATATATATATATATATATATATATATATATATATATATATATATATATATATATATATATATAACACTCAAAAGATTGCGTGCAAATTTGTTCTCTAACCAGAATTTTTTCAGGAAAATATGTACATCGAAAAATGGTTCACATCGATGTGATTACATTTCTCACAAAATTTACGCATACTCCATTCGTCGATCAGTTTTTTATAGACAATGAAGGTAAGCAATTGTGTCGTTTATGCTCATCTTCAAAGTAAAACACGAGGTGTGGGGCGTGCCTCGAGAGAACGCCATACACCCCACATTTTCTTTGAAGATAAGCATAAACGTCTGGATACTTAGGAAAAGCATCAAAACTTGTAAATATCTCCTTCTTCCTTTATATTTTTGCTGAAACCAGTTAGCTAGATCCTCAAATTCTGAGATGCACCACATCTGAACACAATTGGTTTTGTACCAAAGTCGTACTTCATTCAGAAGTCGAAAAGGTTGGAAACCTTGAAAAACAGTTCACCCAGACAGATTGCGAGATTGTGATGCTATAAAATAGCAAAGCCTCTAATTAATAATCGCGCTCACCTTTGAACTCATTACCTTTAAACCGCATTAATAGGCGCAGCTATAGTGTGGAACCCCGGCCAGGTTCCCATAGGTACTTCCGCGGCGCGCACGCAGCGCGTGCCCTTCTTAATGCTTCTCGCCTCACTCATGAGCAGTAGAGCATATTTATGCTCACAAAGGAGAAAAATGTAAAGTGGAAACCTCTAGGTTCGCTTCGAAAGAGACGTATGCAAGAATGAAACGCAGGCAACCTCCATGAGCAGCTCAAATTCAATCAATGGATGCATATTCCGAACTTGCACGGATGGATAGGTTGTAATAAGTAAACGTAGAGAAATTGAAGAACAACAACATTTTTAAAACACTTCTCTTCGTAGACGTAGGAACTAAAGTGATCAAAGATTTCAAAAAAGTGGACATTTAAGTAAACAAATGCCTGTTGGCTTCTCGGAAGGCTCAATTTTGACTTGAGACACTGTCTACACCTTACACATCAAACCAAAAGGGACTCTTATTTTATACAAGAAGCTTTTGAATGGATATTATCTTAATATTCATTCAAATCTCAATTCCAGAGAAAAAAGGGAAAACACAAGACTGCTAAACAAGACTGAAGGTTTTAGAATTAATAGAGCACGTGAAATCTCGTCACCGGTCATCGCGAATTGTTTATACCTGAAATAGAGAGAATATAGTACACCAAAACAAAAAAAGAGAGAGAGAGAAAGGAGGATTTCCATCGGAAGCTAGGACAGGCGACGCACTGAAGGCGTGCGTTGCGGCTGCGTCGCGCAAGTACTTATGGGAAGCTGGCCGGGGTCCACTATACCTTGACCGCTTCCAACTTCCCTTCTGATGCGACTTCATTTCTACGATGTTCACCTTTTGCAGCGAGATTTGGGGATCAGTTCGGCCCGCTAATATACATCATCACAATCTCTCCATGCTCAATTTGGGTGGACGGTGCTTTGAGAGTAAGTTGATTGAGTGCGGCACAACCCTATTCTTTATATGTCAGCAGCACCTCTCTATAGCCTTGTGACAATCATGCTCAAAAGTGTCACGCTGACTGATTTTTAGTAGGCTATGTTCTACAGGTTTTGCAATAGTGAAAGTTTTTTCGATCCTGAAGTCACGGAGTGGAAGCATTGAAGGGAAAGATGCGATGTAACTTTGGCAATTATTTGATATCATCTCTCTATCTCACCTAGGATATGTTTGGAGCCGAATTTCATGCACGGATTAAGGAGGCGGTACTGCACTGGCGACATAGTTAGTCGACATAGAATCTTTGCATGCAGTTTGTAGATTGGTTTATTGTGTCTGCTTTTTACTTGAAGATGCTCAATTATCTGATTTTACAGTTACAGTTAAATTTTCCGCTCCGCGCTCATGCGTTACCGAGATAAGTGACCCTAATTGTACGTAAATATAGCTACACTGCCACCTGGTATGCCGCTTGGGACCGCTAAATGCCGGCATCACTGGCTTCACGTTCAAATTCGGTCGCCAATCTCGGTTACGTCAGAAATCCACCAGCTTGTAGCTCGTCAGCTTGTTGCAAAATTCGTAATTGGTGGAAGCAGTTATTCTGACGGTGGAATTTTTACCCATTATCAAGGTGTGGCTCTATTACGTTAAAGCCATCCGGCAAAATGATGGGCCTGGGCTATGAAGCGTTGCAGTGGCAGACCCCGAAATTAATCTATCAGTGAAGTGTGGAGCAAAAAATCGCTTCTAGGAAGCCAGAATCCCACTTCGAAAATCTCGCGAACCCAGCCTTGCCGAAACTCTGCCTTTAGGTTTAGAAAGCTAGAAAGTACTGAATGTTGATTGTCAGAAATGGCCTACGCTACCAGCCTATTTTCAAAGAAGCATATTTGAACTTATCTAAGCAAGCAAACAAGCATACAGAAGGCATGTGTGCACTTAAAATGCAACAGCTATGTGTAAAAAGGCAAAAGTTGCAGATGCTTATTGAAAAAAATATTCAACTCCAAATCTGTGCTGACTCCGCAAAGAGGAGTTTTTAACGTATTCAGGCCCAGAATACGACATAATATCTATGATGGGAGTTGGTGCTGAGTTTGATCAAAATGGACTCGTTGCATGCCAAATAAACGTCGAGGTTGGTTGCTTCTTGTTGACACCAACAAACGGCATTACAACTCATTTGAGATTCATGCTTTCAACAACTTCAAGAAACGATTTTCGCTTTTGCTAAAGAAGCTACTAAGTGATCGACGGTACGCAATTTTGAAAGCTTTTCCAGCCATACATCTTCGCACCTTTCTAATGAACTTTGGTCACAGAAAATGTGTCGAGAAGTATATAGCACAATTTCTTACTTAAAGACTTTCTAACAAAAGTAATGCTGACTGTTATGCTGCATTTTACTCTAAGCTTCGAGTCATTCAGAAGGAGACTCTTCTCTTCTAATTTGTGACATCTTTCTCTACTCTAACTTTGTTAATGGCTATCGGTCAGTTCCGTTCTACACTTCATCCAACGGCACATCACTCCTCCCTTAAATGACAATACGCTCAGTTTCTCGTTAATCTTCTTCTCGCCACTACAGACATGTTAGAGGTTGTGTCTTATCAAAATTCAAGTTTTGAGGGCCAAGACCACGGCCGTCAGATAAACCGTACTGAGAACGCAAAAGCAAAGATATTCAAAATTAAGCAGTGCCCGGATAATGAGCAATACAGAACAATTTCCGGCAATTTATTCTATTCCGAATTTTTTGAGACACAACCATCTTTGATGCCGCGAGTTTCACTTACAAGAGTACTGTTTTTTGTTTCTTCTCTCGATGCAATAGTGTACTACGGATTACTACGTACAAAGCTGATGTGTATGTGGTTATATGATGTTATGTGCTGGATAATTTTTTTCAACACATCTGAAAACAAAGTCAGGCAACTGATATATGGAAGTGAGAAAGACAGAAAAATGGTGTGTAGTTTTTAGTTAGGTGTTTTACCATGGCATGTCGACAGCTGGGTATGAAAACTACTAGATTTTAATTGAGTATCAGATCATCAAAGTCGACTAATTTGGGTGCGAGGAAGCTACTTATCTGTACGCTGATTATAAAACTCACTTCACTGTTGGAAGCCGGGGCTATGTGACTTAGTTAAGGCCGCTCGCGCCCGCGACGCAGTCTGCGTCTCTGTCGCTCGCGGGCACTCTGATCATCACCCAGCCTTAATTAGGTCACGAAGTCCCGCCTTCCAGCCGCCAAGCCAGTTGAATCGAAGGGTAGATTTAAAATTTTTTGAGCATGTTTCTAAGCCACTGAGAGTGAGGAAACAAGAATTGTTTCCATGATTTTTTTCATTGAACTGCACTTCATTCAATTCTCGTTAGGTAACCTCAGCAGATTCGTTGGGAATACTTTCAGCAACAAGAAAAAGGTCACTTATAAAGTGGTTACTCAAGTATATTTTTTACCTAGCTTATTTCCAATTTTGCTATTGAGTTTATGGCTCATCCATCATGGTCGGTTGTACAAGGGTTGCTTGGTCTGTTGCATTAGCATCCCATTCTCACAATGTCTTCGTCATACTCTTTAATAGGTCGCCTGCTGTCGAGCGAGAATGGCGTGCCCGGACTCATATGAGTATCCTTGGCAGCATTTGCGGTACTTAGTAGGTTGATGCGTAATTCCTGCACCATAATAAGTGCAGACGGCAATAATCCGGAATTCTCCTATATCCTAAATCGAATTTGATATATCATTAGATAGAGCAAACCTAGCTCTACAAAATAGTGCTCAAATATCTGCACCAGCTGTGATCCACACGAAGTTTCAAGACGAAAACCAAAAAAAATCATGCTTTCGAAAACCTTAAGACCAATCAAAACAAAACTGTAACTTCGTTCAAAAAATTCCTACAAAAATTCTTGCTTGCTCACGCGTAGACTTTCCACGTAAGACATTTATCTATGCAGTTGCTGCATTTTTTCTCAGCTAGACGATGAGAAAACGAAGTTTTCCTTGTTTCTAAAAAATTAGTGCTAAGATGTTCTAACACCAACAGTTGTATACTACATGCCTTTAGCAGTAAAACTTTACATTTTCAGCCTTCTGAAAGAACTAGTTGACGAGAAATATCGAATCTAGCTTTCCTTATCCGAATTTTTCTTGCCTAGTTGCTTGAAATTCGATATTTCTCAACCAGCTGCTGTAAAAGGCTAAAAATTTACACTCATGCTTCTAAGGTCCTATAGTATACAACTGTCAGTGCTAGAACATCTCAGCATTGTTTTAGAAAAGACATGAAAAACTTCGTTTTCCCAATTTCTAGTTGAGAGAAAAATACAGCAAGCATAGAGAAATGTCTTATACGAAATGACAATGCATGAGCAAGTTAAAAATTTTGAAGAATTTTTCTGAAAGGATTTCTAATTTTTTTCTTGGTTTTTTGGGGCGCATGGATCTTTTTCGTTTTTGGCTTCAATTTTCGTCTGGACCAAAGCTGCTGCAAAATTTCAAGCACTATCTTGTAGAGGCTAGGTTTGCTCTATCTAATGATTAGTGGCGTACCCAGGATTTCGGCTCGGGGGGAGGGGCCACGAAAAAATTTTTTATAAGACTAAAATGAATTTTAGAAAATTTGCAGACAAATTACTTGCACAATTTTATAGCCCATGTAAGTAACTTTGAATTTTCGCGACCCGTTCTTGAGGGGGGGGGGTGGGGCGCCCCCCCCCTCGGTACGCCAGTGCTAATGATTTATTAAGTCCTATTTGGGATATAGGATTAATCCGAATTATTGCGGTCTGTACCTATTTTGCAGGTGCAGGAATTGTGCATCAACCTAATAGATCTTGTGTGCTATCATTTATTAAATTGTGGACCTAGCCTAGCGAATTATTGCTGTGTTTCTGTTTTTAACACTAATTTTTTTCATGAATTTGTTAATTACTAACCCGATACTATGGCGTGTCTGTTTTGTATTCAAATAAGTAAACAAATCTTATATATAAAGCTGAATGTCTGTTTGTCTGTCTGTCTGTCTGTATGTATGTCTGTCTGTATGTCTGTACGTATGTTCCGAATAGAAAATTCCATTTCTGAACCGATCCGGACCAAACTTGGCACACATACACTTCGGGGCAGGGAGCGTCTCATAGGCTACTTTTAATCATCGAACGATATCACTTTTATCGATTTTTTGCAAAGTTTGAGCTACAGGGCTGGGAGTTGGCACAGGGGGGTAATCGAGCATGCTGATTACGAATAAAATAATGACAGGGCCGGGCGGAGCCGGGTAAGCCATCTAGTAGCAAATAAAGTTGTTGGAATTCAGCGTAGTTTTTTGTGGGAAGTGACACACATTTTACGCAGGATGTCATAAGTACTCATATACACAAAATCAGAGGGCCCACCCAAAGTGGGGATGAGGTTTTTATGCTGTACTAGTTCGTCTTTCATTAGGCTACGGGCACACTTTCAGCGACTCCATCGTAGAGATCTCATCGCTGAGGCATCGAATGCCTCGTCGTTTAATCGCTTCGGGACTAATCGCACGTCGCTCATTCCGGACATACGTTTCACACACTAGCTTACACGTCACGTCCGAATCAACGCAAACATTACCGAGTTTCCGAATTCGTCTGATATCTCTCACTCTCTAACACACTAATCTCACAAAGCTAATTAGGCTCATAGACGCGTCCACCATCGACCATCCACGATCACTGCTAGCCTTAATTTACACCTCTGACTGCGCACGTATGGCTACATAGCAACATGCAACAACATGTTGCTCAAGGATGGCAGACACCATATTGCCCCCAACATGCTATTGCTTGCTGGCGACAAGCTGTTGCAATTCAAACTAAGGGTAGCAGCAATCGTAAAGTAGTATCAGTAAAGTAACATTCGAGTATACAGTAAAAAACCTTCAATCTTTAGGAGATTCTGAAAGGGGAAAAGGTAAGCGAAATTACAAAAAAGACAAGAAGAAGAAACACTTACGTGAATTGAAAAGGCAATTTAGTAACGCTTCCGTAAATCCAGAGTCAAAGCGGATAAATGGAAAAACTAAGAGAAAGAAGTGGGTAAGTGAAAAAGTAGGTAAGCAATGCAGAGTGGTAAGTGGAAACACGTGTGCAGCAGTAGGTCATGCGGTGCCATTCGCATGATGTATCAGTTAAAAATGAAGAGAAAGACGTGCGATATCCATTCAGAGAAAAGCAACGACATATTGCCCGTCGCTGGTGCGGTCTCTGCGACGCGATTTCTCTCAGTTTCGGCGTTGTCGTGACGATATCGCCACTAGTGGTATGCCCGTCGCCCAAAAATTGCTCGAGGTGGCACGCGATTTGCCACCCCTACAACTGGCACGAATGCGGCGGGACCCACTCTCTCATATACTTGAACGCAAAGGGTCAGGAGAGGAGTAACGCCCGAGGAGTAATCGCGCAGCGTTCGAAATCGCGTAAGATATGCCTGATACCTTACAAGGGAAGGATACTTGGTGACCGTGGCCTTGTGAATTGAAACGTACACTACTAAATGCATCTTGAAACGCTGATTCCAAATCTGTTTTCGGTATCTGCTGTGCACTTTTCCGAAAGAAGTTATAAACATTTGTTACCACTAAAATTTGCATAGTTATGATGACAGGATTTACCAATACCGTTAGAATGTTCACTTCCGCCCTACAGGAGGCATACAAACAAGATAGTGCTCTACGTTAAGCTCAAAAAATCTGTTTCCGACATATCAGAATCTAAAAAGCATTACTAATGACTGCCTAGATCTCGTAAAAAATTAATGGAAAAAAGTTTATAACTTCGTTCATTGAGTGGCACAGCAGATATTGAGCATAGATTTGGAATCAGCGTTTCAAGACGCATCTAATGATCACTACAAAAGGTCACGGTCACCTAGTATCCTCTTCTTGTTAGACAAACTTCCAAGACGCGTTGCAAAAGTTTGCTTCCAAATCAAAAAATCGTTCCAAATAGAGATTCTTCACTAATGATCCCGCCCTTATGCCCAATCCGCCCAGGGCTCCTCCGGCAAAGAGGTTTTCCTGAATACAGTTGCACTTGTAAAACAGGCTCACGCTAACCTCCTGACAAGTGAGCAGCAGATTTCGAAAAACTACTTCTGATTGAGCGCGGCTTATCTTACAAGAGTTAGCAGTCAGTTAGTCTTGTTAGCAGATCCGGACGATTTTGCAAATCACTCTGCACGAAATTATCACGACAGCCAACTATTTTGTGAAACTGTGCTCAAAATTCTCCTCAATTCTCTTCATCAAGTAAAGCCGCTTTAAACTATGAACAAATTCTCTTGCTAACAACGAGAAAGCTTTGCAGAGGCCTCGAAGGTTCATTGCCGCGCAAGAGCTTTTGGCGTGATCTTAACTAGAGCCTCTTCGTACCCACTCTAGTTTCGAAGATACAGAATAATTTGTACATCAATAATTGAACTAAATCTTGAGTTAATAAAACCAGTACTTCTCGAATATGTCAATATATCGGTAATGCACGTTCATATCAAGGTGTTGATAGAATAAGTATTTTTGTAGGACCTTTTATCTTAAGAATTTTGCAATTTAAAACGCAGCAGCATTTGGCAGAGTTGTCCTCACACGAGAAAAATACACGCAGGTGATGTTAGACAGCGAATCCGTCCATTAGTATGTCCTGCTTCGTTGTTGGTGGCACGAGGCTCTTAAGACTGTATTTCGTTCATAAGGCCTTTAGCATGAAACACCTGAGTGATGAGAGCTAAACCAGCATTTCTCGAAAAGGGTTTGTGGAAAGCTGAAAATTTGCGGTTATACCCAGGGGGTAAAGCGGGGGGTGTGGCACACGACTGTCGGATACGACCCCCCCCCCCTAGGCCGGACCCCGGCGCGACCCCCTCCCCCATTCCCTCCCACCCCCCCCCCCCCCCCGCCCTTGCTGCTGCTCTCGTTTGCCGGACCATCTGCGAAGGTAAATCTGAAAATCATCAAGTCAAATTCTTTTTGAGAAGTAGAACCGCAATACTTTTGAGCTTCAGTAGTACCATAACAATGTTACATTTGCTGTAGGTAAACAAAAACACCAAAGCAAGATAGCAACTCTCCAAAATTTGTCAGCTACTTCCCACTAAAATTAAGTGATCATCGAACCAGCTCTTGGAAGTCCATGAAGAATGCAAATGAAAGTGCTAAGCACAAGTAATTCAGAACTAACCGAATGCAGTTTGGAAAACTTTGACACCAAATATTTACTTCTTCGGAAATCTCAAATCACAAGTGAATGAAATGACCAATTTCAACCTCGCCTTATATACATCAAAGAGCTCTGAGGACAATTCTGACGTGAAACAGCACAATGGATAATCATAACATTGACCTGATAGTCAGTAGACTAGGAAAATCACTCTAGAAGTGAATGTTCATAAAATGAGTAAATAACTATTTGTTCGAATGACAGATTGCTATCAAACGGCAACTTGATACCTTACTGATGAAACGTCAAAATCCATACAGGTAAAGGAAGCAAAGAATACCAAAACAGTATATGGGTAGCAAAAATATACGAAGGCAAAATATGCAAGAAGAAGACCGAGAATGAAGACTCAAGAAAGAAGATCTGAGAGGTAATCGACCAACTAAAACAATCCACCGCCTTTGCCACCGCCAGCTTTTTGCAACTGCGCCATCATATTTTGCAATCCACCCATTCCGCCCATTTATTGCAATACCCGTGAATCCATCATCTTTGCCTCTGATGATTCACCTTCATCATTTGCGCCGGATTGACCTTCTTCGGATTGATGTCACCGTTCTTACCCTAAATAAATTGCTCATTAAGATTATAGAGACTTTGAGTCGTGACAGATAAAACGCTTTCAAGTTTCCTCCGAAGGCAACATTGGAAGCAATTAAAGTCTTCAGAGTGGAAAAAATATACGTACCGAGAACAACCCCTTAATTGAACCCATCTTTTTCACCATGTCTGAGAACTTCTTGTACTGACTGAACAGATCACGAACCTGGCAGGTGGTGAGATGAATAAAACTGATCGAAATAACAAAATCACCAACTTACCTCCGCATGCGTTGTGCCCGACCCTCGTGCAAATCTTATCACTCTTCTTGGCTCTTTCGAGAACAGTTCAGATGCTTTGGGATGATCAAGCTCTGAAACAAAAACAAAAAAGATCAAAAAAAAAATTGGGTTGCAGCTGTCGTACCTGTGACACTCATGGAGTCCATTATGGTCATAAGCTTTTTCAACCTGCCAACTGATTCCTTGTCGTTGCCCTTCGTCATAAACTCTGGTCCAAAGCCAAGAATCATGCTCTAAAAACATAAATGTAAGAGAATAAATTGGCAAAATACGAAACCTATCATTATCTGACTGAAGGGTCCCATTCTCATGATATTTTGGAATTGCTCATACATATCGCGAAGTGTAAAAAGACCTAAAACAGTCTTATAAGTAGAATACAATAAACTCCACAGTCACCAACCATGCTTCAAACGGCTAACAAGCTTTTCATTATCCTTTATGCCAATATCATTAAAGGCAGTACATCGGCAGAATGAGACCCGTGTCAAAACAAGGTCACAGGGTAGGAGCCCCCATATGGAACCTATCGGCCAAAGTCCGATCTTTCTCTGCCACTTCTAACCCCCGAAATTTCAAAGCGAAAGCAGCGCTCATCGCCGGTCCTCTCCGAACCCGCCCACACCATGGACGAGTGAACGAAGCCCGTCATGGCGAAGACGCAGAGTCGTTGCGGGACCTCATGCTTATAGCATTGCGGCTGGCGCTCTGACCGCGGAAGTCACTCGTCCATGGGGTGGGCGGGTTCGGAGAGGAGAGGAGATGAGCGCTGCTTTCGCTTTGAAATTTCGGGGGTTAGAAGTGGCAGAGAAAGATCGGACTTTGGCCGATAGGTTCCATATGGGGGCTCCTACCCTGTGACCTTGTTTTTTCACGGGTCTCATTCTGCCGATGTACTGCCTTTAACCATATCCACCAATCCAGCAATATCTCCCATTCCAAGAAGTTTTTGCACAAATGCCTTCGGTTACAACAGTTCAAAGTCATCGATATGCTCGCCGGTAGCAATGAATATGACTGGGGAGTGAGCCTGCCTTCACATTAGCATCCAATTCATCCTCCTCAGGTGGCGACTCAATAGCTACGGAACTTTCCTCAGCTTCTTCGACCGGTCGTGATGATCGCCTGTCAGACATATCCTCCATACTTCCCACAAGCTGGGATTCAGCTAGGAAGACTGAAAGACGTGAAAACATAGCAAGGAACATGAGAGAAACAAAGAAGTGATGGAAAAGAACGAAAAAAGCGAGAACATCACAGCCCATAACGAGAGTGGTATTCAAAGACTCGCATCTCGCGCTTCTGTGTTCTGACAATTTTTCGAGCACTACCGTAACCCAATATTTTTTGGCCACACTTCGCATCATATGGTTCGCGAAAACCATATGTATCTCCTTCTAAAGAAAAAGGTTCGAGGGGAAACAGCTACTACGGAGAGAGGAAGGATTAATCTAAAGGATGATATGAAAAAGGCAGCTGTTTGAACGTTTTGAAGGTAAGTTAATGGGGTGCGGCACCCCCGCACCCCATTAACTATATCAAAAAAACATTTTTAGCAGACACTATTTATATGGATCGATAGCCTAAACCTTGTAGAATCCATAGGACTGTTTTGAGCCTGATTCGTCGTCTTAGCTCTGAGTAATATTTGGTGAAAGCAAAGCGATCAAAAGCAAAAAATGGGAAAAACGAGATTTTGGTTGGCTTCTAATTCCACAGTTTGTAGGTCTTCTGAAGCGGGATTTCTGAGATGGACAAAGAATGAGTAGTGCTTTGTCTTGAGTGCAAAAACGGATAACTAATTCACCTTTGAAACAAAGTTAACCATGTTGGAATTTGACTATTTCATTTAGGAGCCTAGTATCTTGTATCTTCAGAATTCGCTCACATTTTGTCTACAGGGGTTAATTGACATGCTAATTATGGATTTGATACGAATATCATGTCATCACTATTATCAGATTACCCAACTACGACCCCCTCCCCTTTTGACCCCTCAATACGACCCCCCAGGTGTGGCGTGCCGCACCCCACGCTTGACCCTGGTTATACCCCCAAGGAATTGTAGTATACAACTACATAAGTGGAAACAGTTTAGCTTCGTTTTTGTCAAAACTTAAAAATTTTCGTTTTCTCGATTTCTGAAAGAGGAAAAAAAATACAAAGCGGTACATTTGAGTGTCTGATATAGTGTGCAATTTTCGTGAGCAAGTTGGAGATTCGTAGGATTTTTTCCAACAAAGATATGAATTTCGCGATTTTCTGAGTCTTCAATACGACTCACATTTTGGCAAACTCAAAATGGGTCGAAGTTGGGGCCAACTTTTGCAGATCATCTTGTAGTGCTTGCTTTGCTCTATTGGATGGTCCTTGCACCCCTATTGAAAATGTGAAGTGCATGACTTATTGCCGTAAGAATTCAAAGTGTCTCAGGACTTATGTTACAACCTAATACAAGCTTTTCATAAAGCTGATGGGAAGATCTCTGGAACTTGCCTTCCCGGCCTCTGTAGCTTTTAGCCATGCGCGTTTTTTTCTTTTTCAAAATTAGCACCGCTTTTGCCTTATTCCTGTTTGACCATTTGTTTTCTATTATATAGTTGTTCTTTTGGTACTTTTCCGTTATCCGGAGCCATTTTTTCAAAATGTTCCCAAAAAATACGCTTCAGGCTAGAGGTTTTGTTTCATATATCTTGTAAGGACTGTCTCATTGTTAAGTGTCAAGATAAAAATTAATACGTTTGGGGGCCAGTTTGACATGTTTGTTCAAAATCGTTTCCATTGAGGTACGGAAGCCTTTAAATTGACTCGAAAGCTGTTCAGAGGTCTTTTGTAAAAGCAAGAGAGTTTTAAACGTCTATTTAAATCGTTAGTAGCTTTCAGCAATGATTCAAAAGAAATCCTGCCCTTCACATTGTTTCCGACATGCGAATTCAACCGGGAAAGAATATAAATGATGGCTTTAAGTACCTGGCTGCCGATACATCGTTTAGATGATAGAACAAAAATTCACTTTTCTGTTTTGGGAAAACCTAATGTGTTCATTAAACACAGGATGTCATTTTCATAATATCAAAGCTCATTCATAAAACCGCTGACTAAAATTGAGGGCATTATGAAAAAAAGGGTTAAACTTGCATTGATGGGTAGGCTAAACAAACCCTTGTCAGAACCTGTTAACCATGTAGAGACATGTCATTTTTTTGACACGTGAAAGGAGGTTGACTCTTCATTCTGTGAAGTTCTCACCAAATTTGGAACACTGATAGAAGCAATATCCTTTACGAAAAAATGAGTCCGGATAACGGAAAAGTACCGTTCTTTTCACTAAAGATGACACAACCATGCCGTTTTCTCAAACAATGCCGACTCGCCAATGTGCCGCACGTCATGCTGCACTCAAACTTCAATTTTGGGAAATCGCCATCTGCTATTCTACTTTACGCCGTAAGGCTATGCAGTAGCTGCTTTGCTATTACGCTAATGCTTTGAGCTCTCAGATATGAGAACCCACTCTCTCTTGAGTCGTGTATCTCTATTGTTATCCGTTCAACACTGGAGCTTTATTGACTAACAGGGGAAGGATACTTGGGTGCCGTAGCCATTCATAATGATTTGTATACCAAAAAATGCGCTTTTGAATGCTGGTTCGTAGACTGTCTTTCATATTTGCGAAACGATAATCTGAATGGAGTTATGATTTTTTTCATTAAAAAAATTGCGTTCCTGCGGAGGGTCAAAGACATCAATAAAAAAATTTTCTCTCCTTTCCAAATGCTGAGTATGATCTAGAAAGTCTAAATAAATATTATTATGTCTAAAATTTTCTTCAGTAGCATCAAACGGTAGGTTAGATCAAATCTGGTGATTTTTACTACCTAAAAGTAGGCTATTCAAGGAAAAAGTTCATAACTTTCTTCAAAAGATCGTTTCGCAGATTTCGAGCACAGATTCAGAATCTGCATTCGAAGGCGCATTTTTTGGTGTATAAATCATTAGGAATGGCCGCGGCATCCAACTATCCTTCCCTTGTAAGTATCTCAGTCAAGAACCTAACCTATCTTTTTAGCATAGCGTCTGATGTGTATTAGGTCGTTCCTTAAGTTCGTAGCTTTTCATTTTCGTCCTCATATCTTTAAGGAGCGGTTGATTTGCGGCAAAATGCGTGCCATTTAAAAGGTCTGATTATGCTTTTTGAAGTACGTCTACTGATTTTGGTGGAAAGCTAATTTACTCGGATCTCGCAGCTTCCAATTTTCAGGGCAGGACGTCCTGCACTGAAAATTGCTGTGCAGGTAGGGGTAGGCGATGGTCAGCTTTACCTAAACAATCCAACTGCACCGTATAAATCAGATCTTACCGCAGAAAAAGCCTGACAGACAGATCCAGTGAGTTTTTCTGCATGAGGAAACATGGCGTCATACGGCAAACGACGTCAAAACTGTCCTCCACGGTTTGACTGGAAGGTACTTCAGTACCCAAAGTATTCTTCAAATCTCGCTCTATCGGATTATCATTTGCTCCGCTCTCTAGCAAAGCTGGCAATGGTGCATGTCTCGATATTAGTGAGCAGTTTGAGCGCTGGATAGATGAGTTTCTTGATACCCGGCGCGCTGCTGTTTGAAAAACAGGTTGAGAAGCTAACAAGAATGCTCCAAAAGGTCGTGCGCTACAACGAGGGATGTAATTTTGATTGATTTTTACTATAAAGAGACGATTTTGTTTGTTTATAAAAACGCCACAAACTTGTGGAACGGCCTAATAATTGCAATTCTTTGAAAGCTGCGCTCGCTTGCCAATAGTGTTCCATTACCTTGATTAAACTGGAACGATTTTCAATGTAGTTTGTATAGATATCATGTTAAAACTGTCTAATGATCAAGGAGCATTTTCTCATAGCGATCGGCAGCTACTTACTGGGCAAATTTGACCCAGGTTAGTTGCCTTAAGTTCACCGAGCACTCCAAATAGTAATAAATTTTGTGTTAAGCAGATATAGTCAAATGAACAACTATTGCCAATAAAGTAAGTCTGTTCATGTCAACGTTGATCTTGTTATCGAGTTTTGAGCCCTCCACTTTCGCCTTAACAACTAAACCCCAAACTCATGCTTTTCCTCAAGCTTTTGAAGTCCCTCCAAGATTTGAAGTCTCAGGTTGAAGAATATCTGACTAACCGATACTTTCGCCCGCACTATCCCCAGTATCAATTAAGCGATGAGATCCTTCACTGCTATTTTGCCACACAAACAAGTAGCTTATACGCAATTAGCTTCAAAATGTGCTATGTTCCTTTTATGCTGGAATCAACACATATTTTACGGATTAAGACTACTGCCCTTGCGTTGGACTCTACAATCAAGTAAGTCACTTAGGTACGCCATCCGACATTAACACATCTGCGGCATTCACATTGAAGTTTGCAATAATTCAAAACGAAACGTCTTTTTAATGAGATTCTCAGAAATGCGTTGAGCTTTGTATTTCTGTTGTAGAGCCGTCCATTATATTGGAACTTGCTCACTCACTATAGGCTAGGTCGATATGGTCTCTGTGGTTGCGGCGTACCCGCCGCACCTTGATATATAATATTTGTGTGTGTTGTTCTCTAGTTATTCCTAGTGAACCCTCGGCATGTACGCCGATAGGCAGAGGGGGAACTCTTGTGTTTTTCTATTAAGTCGTCAACGGCTCAACGCGTTCCACATCAACTGGCGATCAGAATCAAGGACAAGAAGACCTCCACCGACCAAGGACCAGAAGAAGCTCCACCAACCGAGGACCAGCAGCCCGATCAAGGACCAGCAGCCTTCCAATCAAGGACAAGAAGAAGCGCTGCAGCTCAGCCAAGCCGGGAGGAAGCTGTTACCGGTCGAGGACAGCCAGACAAGTAAGCGTTGCTAGGAATTGATTTAGCAGAAGAACTCGTCGACACCGAAGAGTTCTACCATGCCGAAAGCCAGTGAAGAGCGGCATGGCCATGACTCTTTGGAGAAGGTCCTGTCGGTCATGGTCGATCAGATACGAATTCAGCAGGAGCAAATGCAAATGCAGGCGCAAGCTCTACAGGAGCAAATGCAAGTACATTTGCAACTTCAACAGGAGCAGCAGACGCAATTGCAAGCTCAGCAGGAGCAGATGAAGGA